AGACAGAGAGAACAGAGTTTGAACGGAGGGAAGATATGAACGAAGCTACTGAACTGCCAAGAGGTCAGTCAGAAAGGGAGAATGTCACCAAATCTCAGATGCTAGAACCCAATGTTTAAATGATCAGTAATTACAGTAATTACAGTCACTGTGTATTTGATGCTGTTTACATGGCATGAACTGTGCTAAGTGATTTCTAAACACTTTCCTGACAACCACTTGGCAAGGTAGATCTTTGTATCCCCATTTTATAGATAAGGAAACTGAGGTTCAAAGGGATTCACTGATTTGTCCAAGATTATCTTACTGGGAAGCAGTAGGGCCAGGAATGGAACCCAGGTTTCTCTCGCTATGAAGCCCAAATTTTCCTTCCTACAGGACAGGAGAAAACATCCAAAATCTCTGTGTCATTAAACAACAGCACTGCAACTGCAAACAGGTGGATTCACCAAGCCACTCACTACTGACCGCTCGGCTCACATCCGGAGGCCAGGCAGTGGGGTGGACTTGGAGACCAGGACAGGGAGGGAGAATCAGGGCACAGACACACCAGGGCAGCGCTGGAGCCAGACAAGGAGCACAGACACACCAGAGGGAGAGCCACATCCTGGGGGACCAGCCAAGGGGACCAGTCAGGGAAGGCTCCTAGGGGAAACCATGCCCAGGCCTGGCTGTGTCTTGAGTCACAGAAGGTATTAGGCTGAGGAAGGTGAACATCTAGCTTGAAGACATGGTCCAAAGGGTCCATGGCAGGAATGAGCACATCCTGGTCCAGGAACCACAGGTGCTTTGGGATGAGTGCAGGTCAAAGTGCACCCTCTGATGCAGTGCTGAGGACATTTTGTCATTTGTGCTTCAGTTGTTGAGGAAATAACTGCCACCCCCACAGGAGACACATGCTACTTTCCAAGAAATGATATAGGACAATTCACCATAAAAATTCCACACCACCTTCGCCCCCACGGGAGGTTCTACATGTGTACTTTGGAATATGCAAGGATAGTTTTTGAATCTTTAAGAGGGAGGATGAGGCTGCTGCTTGAAGCTAGAACACAGGTTTCCATGGGTGAGAACAATGCTCACTCCATTTATCTCCCAACAGGCCCCTTGAAACAGCAGCCCTGGACTCTCCCCCTGTGTATGAAGGGCCACAGGGGCTCTTGGGGATCTCAGAGATACAGTCAGCTTCCCTGTGGTCACTAGATCTGCCTTTAAATCCAAAGGGGAGAATATGCGATGAACAGTCAAGGAGCACTGGCCATGGTGAGCCTTCACATTCTCACCCCAGTGTCACATCCTCCCCTGGTTGTCCTGGCAAGTCACTTGCCCTCTTTCAGACTTAGTTTCTTCCTCTGTGAAATGGGCTACGAAAACCAGCCCTGCATTTGTAAAAATGAGAGACAGCCCAGTTAAATGGATGAGCCCAGTGCCTGTAACACACTAAGGAGAAGTTCCACAAACTGCAGTTACTACAATTATACAACTACTGCTACAATTCTGCTCTGTCTCCTCCCCTCCCTATTACCAAATGCTGTGCTTGCAAGCCCTCTTCCTACCTCTATCTCCCTTGTCTGCGTCCCCATCGCATCGTACTATACTTGGCACAAACTCGGCCTGCTGTCATTCTCTTAAAGTTTTCACATAAAAATCTTGTCTCCAGTCAGATCAAAGCTCTCAAAGCAAGGTAGTAGTGAGATGGGAATGGTGGGGGCGGGGGGGGGGGGGGATTTTCTTTTATTTGTTAAGCCCTCTTCCTACCTCTATCTCCCTTGTCTGCGTCCCCATCGCATCGTACTATACTTGGCACAAACTCGGCCTGCTGTCATTCTCTTAAAGTTTTCACATAAAAATCTTGTCTCCAGTCAGATCAAAGCTCTCAAAGCAAGGTAGTAGTGAGATGGGAATGGTGGGGGCGGGGGGGGGGGGGATCTTCTTATATTTGCTAAGAATCCTCCAGAGCACTGAGCCAGGCTCTGGGCACACAGGCAGGCACTACATCAGTTATTGCTGATGGTCTCTACTCAAGCATTGTCCTGAACAGCCAATACCTGGATGTTGAGGACTGAAAAGAGTTTGTGTACCAGATCCCTGAGACCTGAGACCACTGATGCATCACCAAATTTGGCACAAATCTTAAGAGGTCTTTTTGTATTGTCTTCTTTTCCCTGGATAAGACATGCCTTTCTCTGCTCCAGAGGCTCCTTGGGTCCACAATGCCTTCCCAAGCTTTGCTCATGAAACATGTGCATAGGATCTGGTCTTTTCAAGGCATCCAGGAAGTGTTTGTCTTTTTTGAATAATCAAGATACAGGAGAGAAAAGGAAGGGGTTATAATAGCTGCCTGGCCACTGTATTATTTCTGATGTCAGGAATATGTTTGTACTCAAAGTGCAGCGATTCTGCGAAAACCCCGAACAGTTCTCAGGGATTAGCTGCTCGAGTCCCTACAGGAAGAAGCAAGAAACACAAAGACAGAACAAGCTGTGTGCCACAAACACGACATCGTACATGAGCCCAAGCCAGGAGGACATACTTCCAGACAGTTGTCCAGAGGGTGCATTCAGGTCTGCCAGGCAGCTTGACGCCCCGCTCCCATTTTCCTCTGTGAATGAATTCAGAAACTGTTTGGGAAAAGAAAGCTATTTTTTTTGTTCAGTCTTCTTCATAGGTCTTCCTGACTTTTCTCCTTTTTAGTGATGGGGATAAAAACGACATGAACCTTAGAAAAGGCAAAGTCAGTGGTGGGACACACCATATATGAAGCATACCTTCAGTATCTCAAATGTTCTTCGAAATTATATAAAATTTAGAGACATAAAATGCACGTGCATCGTTATAAGGAGAGTCAGCCCTGTAAATCCCAGCTAAAGTGTCATAGCAAATGTCTCTGTTTTGATCAGATATTACACATTTGTCTTTAAAAAAGAAATGAAAAGAAAAATGTAGCTAACAGCGCCCTTTGCAGCCCCCCAGTGGTTGGAAAGAGAAAGAGGAAAGAACGCGGGGGAGACAGCAACTCTAGCTCCGCAGGAACAATCAACTTTTTACTCCGGAAAGACAAATGGCTTATTTTCAACCTGAAATGAATATGTTCTAAGTGGAGAAGACGCAAGGTGTTGGTTAAAATGCACATAGTTATTCACATACGCATGAATCACTGAGAGCCTGGATTTTTTTTTGTTTGTTTCTTTTCAATCTTTCTCTTTTATCTCTACCAAGTTTTCCATTTTGACCTGGGAACTAGGCGATGCATAAGCATACCAGGTCTTCTTCCCAAACAAGTGTTTTTCCCTTCCTTCACTTGCTGTGAGCCCCCCTGTATGTAAACATCGGCTTAAACATACGCCATTTGCTCCGCTACAAAGTGACGAAAAAAATCAAAAACATGTAATCTGCCTATTTAACAAAGTGTCTATATTGGGGAAGGAGAGCAAAAGATTTGGTCGTTCATTGTTTTTTATTCTTGCTTTCACCAAAACAAGCGTCTCTCTGAGTGATCAACGACTCCTTTACCCATTCCTTTACCTTTCCTTTACCACATGTTTGAGACATTTTCATAATCAGTTTTCCTTTGTCTTCCCCCCCCCAAAAAAATACCTCTCAAGGATGGGGGTGGGGGTAGGAATTGATGAAAAGGAACAGGATGCCTGCTTATAAAATAATGTCACAAAAAACGATGCCACCAAACTACAAGATTACGGCATAAACAGAAAACTCTCCTATTCTTCTCAACCGTCTCACTCTCAAGTTGCGGGAGAGGCATTCCCGAGGTCCTGAGGAGGCGAACTGGCTGCCTCGCGCTCTCCCCACCCTCCAAGGGTAATTAAACGTAGAATACGTTCCCTCCTGAGCCACAGGTAAGCTACAGTTCAAAGCCAGTTTGCAAATCAGGTTGCCGCTAATAGGGAGCCTCTTTATCTACAAGAGCAAACTCCTCCGTCCTCTGAGGATTGTCAGTGACCACGTTCCTTCCCGTACCGGTTGCCGGGCAAATCTGGCCACAGCCTTTAAACCAAGCGCACGCCCTTCTATCCTAGTCAAAACGCAGAGAATCAACAAGTTACCACCAAGCCGGGCACTCCAGCCCAGAACTGCCACCGCCTCTCCTGCGCCCATCGCCACCCAAGCCGGCTCTGCTCCTCCCTTGCCTCTCCCACCACCGTCCAGCAAGCACGTGACCTTCCGTTTCAGTTCGCCCTCCAGACGCCCCCACCCCGGCGCTCCTCGCCGCGCTCCCAGGCAGCAAATTCCGCGGCTCGCCAGCCTACAGTCTCCCGACCGCGCCAGGCGTTCACCAGGATCTTGCTTCCTCCGGGGCGGGAGAAGCGGGGAGGTCAAGAACTCCAAGCCAATAGGGTTGCGGGGAGGGAGGTCACCGGATTCTGCGCCTCTGTGCTCGGGTGCCCAAGCACAGTCGGAGAGGCTATGCGGAGGGTCACATACCGCCCTTCTTCCGGACTCCACGGCCCACCCGGAGGGCGCGCGTTCCCAGGGGAGCCAGAGCCGCCCTGGGGGATCCTGAAGCCAGCCAGGGAGGCCTTCCCCGGAGCCCACAAGTTTCCACCCCATCCCCGAGATGGGAGACGAGCTCTGCTCCCTCCTTTGAAGGCGCCGCCACTGATTCCTCCCTCAGGGCTGGAGCAGACAACTGCCTGTCCGCGCCGTGCCAGCGCCCTGCTCCCGCCGCTCCCGGGCCGGAGCCCGCCACTCGGCCACTACACCCCCACTCCGACGCAGAAAGCCCACAGAGTTGTCCGAACTCCCCAGACCTGGCCTTCCCCTGGGTCCCTAGAACCTGCCCAGGGGTTGGGCCGGCGTCCGCAGGTGGAATCGCTCTGGTCCAGGGCGCAGGGCGCTCACTTTGGTCATCCCGGGCGCACGGAGGCCGGGGAAGCTGCGGCAAGGGAGGGTGTGCAAATCCAGCGGGGTCCCCGCCGCTTGCACCCTCAAGCCCGCCCTGCTTCCCTCCTCGGAGACGAAGAAACTTCCCCAGCACCCACCTTTAGAGGCGAGGAGGCGGCGCCGCCGGCTGCCCCCGCCGCCGCCGCTGCCGCTCCCCACGCCCAGCACCAGCAGGAGCGGTACCCAGCACAGCCTCCCAGTCACCATCCTCGCCGCCGCCGCCGCCTACGAGCTGCCGCTGCCGCCGCCGCCGCCGCCGCCGCCGCCGCCTACTACCGCCAGGCCGCCTCTGAACAGGAAGCCGTGCGCCGGCCGCGGAGGCCCGCCCCCATGTAGCGACAAGCCCGCCGGCTCCAGGGACTGGAGCAAGGGGCGGGGGGGGGGGGGGGCAGAGGGGGGGAGGGAGGGCGGGGGAGCGGGGGGGGGGGCGC